CCGGCAGGGGCAGGGCCGGGCTGGGGGGCGGGGACTCAGGCTGTGAGTGCCACTGCAGCCGCTGAGGATGAGCCGCTTGTCTCCAGTGGGAGGCCGTGCGCCAGGGAAACGCGGCTGGTAAACCCGGCTCTCCTCAGAGGCCCAGCCGTCCTCCCCGGGCCCCAAACCTGGAGCCCAGAGGCCCCTGCCCAGGGCCCGAGGCCATGCCCGCTTGGCACTCAGCGGCTGGGTCCGGAGCACTTGTGGGTGAGGTGGAAGTCGTCCTGCGACTGGCGAGCTCACCTCTCCCTCTCAGTCCCTCCGCCTCCAGCCTGTCTGGTGGGCCTGCCCCGCGCGGAGAGGGGCCTGTGCCCATGCTCCGTCTGTGGGCGTCCTGCTGGTGTGAGGTGTGGGCTTCCCCCGGGTCCCTGGTGGTGGTTGGAGCGGGAGGTTCAGAGATGGGTGCAGGCGAGGCTCCTGACAGCGGCCTGTCTGTCCCGCAGAGCAAGTGCACCAGCACCTGGAGCAGCATGAGGTGCGGTACCTGCAGTTCGCCTTCCGCTGGATGAACAACCTGCTGATGAGGGAGGTGCCCCTGCGCTGCACCATCCGCCTGTGGGACACCTACCAGGTGAGCTCTGCGCACGCTCGGCTGCGCGCTGCGGCCCTTCGGGCCCATTTCTGAGGCTGTCGTCTGAGTGACGGAAAGCAGGAGCCGTTTCTGAGGTTGTGTCTGTAGCCGAGCTTCCCTCCCGGGGGATGGCGGGAACGCTGGTGTCTGCGGCTGGGTCTGAGCCACGTCTGCCCCAGCGCTCACACTCACGCCGTCTGCGCTCCGAGCTGCTTATAATAAAGACTTTAAAAACCTCGTGACAGCCAGTGCAGCGTGCACTCCCTCTCCACCCTCCTGATGGAGTCCTTGCTCAGGAGACGCGTTTTCTGGAACAAATCACCTCTGTTCCCGAGGGTCCCATTGCTTATCTACCTTCCCATCTCGGTGGCGGTGATTGCTGAAGCCCCGGCCAGGCTGCGGGTGACTCGCAGACAGCAGGCGCTGACCGGGGCGGGGGTTGGGGAGTGGGGGGCGCTGCCTGCAAAGACGGAGTGGGGGCTGCTGTGTGTGGCCCCTGAGTCGCTGGCCCCGCAGCCTGTGTGGACGGCATGGAGAGGGGTGGGAGGCTGGGCCTCAGGCGGCCGGAAGGGTCTCAGCTCACCCCTCCCTCCTCATGGAGGCGGCCTCGGTCTGGACGATGGCTCTTCCCGTGGGACCGGCACGCTGGTGCTGGCCGCAGGGCCCCCTCGCCGCTTGTTTCCATGAGTCTCCTGCCGCCGCCGCCGGCCCTGTGTGCTTGCACTCGGCTCATCTCCGCGCTGTTTTACCCCGAGGCTGCTCGCTGCGGACATCCTCGCGTCAGGAGATGGCCTCCGACCCGACTTTGGCTGGAGTTTCTGGGTTCTCGGCAGCCGCAGCCTTCCCGGGCACTGGCGTTTGTTGGGACATACAGCCTTTTCTCAGGCCTGGAGCGGAGAACAGCCTGTGCTGCTGGCCAGGCCTTGGGAACAACTTAATGTCCCGTAACCGCGGCCTGTCCGCCATGGGCCCGCTCCCGCCCTGCCCTCGCGGAGCGCCGAGCGCCTGGAGCGCTGTCCATTACGGTCAGTTGGGTATGAAGTGCATTGCGCTTGGAGCAGCCAGTGAATGGACTGTGCGTCCAGGCCCCTCACTGCTCGCTGAGACACCTGATAGGCGTTCACATTTACGTGCTGGCGGGGCTTCTTGATGGAGTTAATTTTCCTGAAATTAAATGTTGTCATGAGCTGACTCATTTGTACCATGGACTCCTTCCTGAACGGATGTCCCCTGGTCATAAACCCTCTCGTATCTTAAAAATCGGGGTATTTTATGTTACAGGCCCGCGGACCATGAAATTGTATTGCGTCTTTGGCAATGAAAGGACATAGTACTCAGAGGATGGGCTCGGCGAGCACTGCCCTGGCCCAGGGTTCTTAGCTGGGCCCCTGCAGGCACCTGGGGGCGTGCCCAGGGTCCTGGATAAGCATCACTACAGATGGATAAGTCCCAGCCCCAGACGAGGTAGCGGCACGGAGGTGAACGAGGTGCGTTATCACAGCATGAAGATGGCACGAAAGTGCACAAACTACCAGGAATGGCCCAACAGCAGGGAGGTGGCCCCTGCTCCCCGGGCTGTGCATGACCCGCCCCAGAAGTGGTCCTGGTGTGGCTGCAGGGGCGGGGCGGGGGGACGCAGAGTGGGCCGTCCAGCTCCAGGGCCTCAGCTGCAGGAGATGGTTTCCAGGCCTCCACTTGGCCCGGCCGCCCCGTGGAGGCTGAGGGCGCATCCTTTCTCCCTGCTCCTGTCCCAGCTGCTCCCTCCAGTCTTTCTGCTCCTGTCCCAGCTGCTCCTCCTGGTCTCCCTGCTCCTGTCCCAGCTGCTCCCTCCAGTCTTTCTGCTCCTGTCCCAGGCTGTTCCCTCCTGGTCTCCCTGCTCCGGTTCCATGTTCTTCCTCCCTGACTCTTGCTTCTCTTCCCCGTCAGCTGTTCCCTGACGTGCTTGGTCTCTTTGTAAACATGCCCTGAGTGTTTCACAGTTTGTGATGCATTTGTAAATGGGGTTGTGTTCTCAGCTCCTCTTCCACAGTCCGTTGTTAGTGCATGGGAACTGGGTTTGCACATTGACCTTTGCTGGATTTGTTTATCCAAAGGAAAGGACATGATCCGAGAGAGATCGCTACACCGCTTGTTCTTAGCATTATTCATAGAGGCCGAGGTGTGGAGGCCCCGGAGTGTCCGTCAGTGACGACTGGGTGAACACACACGCACACACATGCACACACACGCACACACACACACACACGCGCGCACACACGCACACACACGCACAGGAGTATCACTCAGATAAAGAAGGAGGCCTGCGCGTGTGGCCGGGCCTTGGGAGGGAGAGAGAGGAGAGGGGAGGCAGCCTGGTCCCTGGAGAAGGAGGAGGGAAACTGGCTGTGTGTCAGGGGAGTCCGGGAGAGTCCAGAGCAGCTGTGCCATGGAAGGTTCTGGAAGATGGAAAGGCCCGTAGGGTAGCCTCCAGGCACAGGGGGGCTCTTCAGCACTTGAAAAATGTGACAAACTGGTTTTTAAATTTACTTCATCTTAACTCATTGAAACTGAAATTGCCCAGGCCCCACGGCCGGGGTGGGAGGCACTGAGGAGCCACAGCCTGGAGATCTGTCTCCCGGGAGCCTGCAGGGTGGCTTCATTCGGCCCAGCTGTTCCCAGCTCCTTCCCGTGGGACCCGGAGGCCTGGCGTCTGATTCAGACACGTCCACTGCCCCGGCCGGAGGGCGTCCATCTTAACTCATTGAAACTGAAATTGCCCAGGCCCCACGGCCGGGGTGGGAGGCACTGAGGAGCCACAGCCTGGAGATCTGTCTCCCGGGAGCCTGCAGGGTGGCTTCATTCGGCCCAGCTGTTCCCAGCTCCTTCCCGTGGGACCCGGAGGCCTGGCGTCTGATTCAGACACGTCCACTGCCCCGGCCGGAGGGCGTCGCAGGCACCGCTCTGCGGGCGGCTGTCAGCCACCTGACA